ATTTTTTGTGGTGTGTGTGAGTGTATTGGGAAGAACGGAAGAAGAAAGAATAAAGAAGAGAGGAGAAAGAAAAAGTACACGCAAATGAAGAATTAATAGAAACTAACTTGTGTTACAGGAAAGCGAAAAGAAGTATAGTTCACGTGCGCTAAATTTATGCAGAATGCTTTCCCAATAAACGTCTGCCAGATCGGAAAACGTTTTTACGAGTTCACCAAAGATTACGAACGACTGGTACGACGACACCCACAAGAAGCAGAAGACGATTACAGCAAAATCTCGAGTTAGAAGAAAGGGTAACGCCGTATTGCCGACGAACCGACAAGTATCAACAGGTACACGACGGATTGCAGCCGAAGAGGGTGGTGTCAGCAACAGCACCGTGTGGCAAATTTTGAACGATAATGAGCTGCACCCATACCACTACCAACGAGTGCAGGCATTAGAAGAGGGTGACTACGAAAGAAGAAGAAACTTTTGTTCGTGGATGCAAGAGAAAATACGGACTGATGAATCCTTCCTTTCACGAATATTATTTACGGATGAGGCGAGCTTTAACAGACATGGAATATTTAATTTCCATAATAGCCATGTCTGGAATGAGGAGAATCCGCACGCGACGTTAGCCATTAATACACAACGGCAATTTTCATTGAATATTTGGGCATTTTGGGTAACGACCTGATTGGTCCCATTGTTCTGCCCAACAGATTGACAGGTGAAGGATACCTGGACTTTTTAAAAAATAGATTGCCTGCACTACTAGAAGATATACCGTTGGAAATAAGGAATAACATGTGATAAATGCAAGACGACGCACCTCCGCATTCTACAATTATTGTACAGAACCACCTATCGACATACTTCGAAAACAGACAGATTGGAAGAGAAACACACCCGTGTACCGTAGGCTGCACGGTCCCAAAATTTAAATGCCATGGACTTTCATTTATAGGGATATATAAAGGCAGTAACGTATTCAACCTCCGTTAATTTAGTAGAACTACAACAGCGAAATGAACTTTTCACACGAATCGTCAAAAATGTGATAGATTTCCAAAAAGTGTAAGAAAATGTAGTAGAAGTTGACCGTGTCTAAACTCGAAACATCGAAGACTGTCAGTTTTGTTGTTAGTTCCGTATAAGGGTGGGTACAGGCAGAATAACTGCCTGTGTGATAATTATTCAAGCAAGTACCTACGTTCACCATTCATCGCGCACATGTTGTGTGAGCGACCATTGATATGTTAAACTACACAAATTTCTGGAGACAACATTACAAGACCACACTGACATTTATTCTAAATGAACGGTCTTATTTTAATACACTAAAATCATAACAAGCGTTATATACGACACATACTTCTCTGTTTATTACATTTTTCATGTGCTGATTCTTTTATTTCGAAGCACTCCAAAATAATCACATGAACGGTGACAAATTGTACAAAGTAGTCTCGAAATAAACTTTATGTTCATATTCACATAACTATCAAACGTGGTAAACGCTGGTACGAACAGGTTGCTAATTTTAATTTGTAGGGAGTGCCCGCAAAAGTACACGCGAAGAGACTCTCAGAGTTTGAGGATGCATCACTTTGAAGACGTCATATTTCAACCGAAAAAGCGAAAATCACGTCGACACACTTCACTCTAAAGCATCCACATTTTCTACCTTCTGCTTCAAATTTACGTCACATTCTGCCTTATATCATACATTTTCACATTTTCCTCGCACGTTTTACGTGTTTCAAATAATAAATCCGTTTTCACCAGTAATAGTAATAATTATTCTCTTTGAACTTTAGCACGTATATTATTAATATAAATGACTTAAAAAATTGTAAATATTTAATTCATATTATTAGTACATTTAAACGTTACCTATTCGGAAATACAAAGTGAGTAATAAAATACACATCTGTACGATCTTTTATACAAAAACTGAAGTTACTAACGTTATTTTGCGAATCGAGATTAACAAAAACAGAAGAAAAAAACGCAAAAACCACGTATTGTATGAAATGTCAGTTTGCGGTTAGTTCGGTCAAGTTCAAAATGGTTTAAATAAATTCATAGTTATGAGAAAATTCTATTTGCATCTTACATACACTTATCAGCAATCATTCTTCTGAATAATTATTAATTAAAAAAATGATGGAATATTGTATCTCAATAGTCAAATTTCTGTGAAATTTTAATAAATACCAGGTACCTTATTCATTAATACCAATAAATTTAATACTCGAACGATACCCATAATTTTTATAATTTGAATTTTAAACTACAATTTGTTCCGACTGACATTTATACAGTGATATAAATCTCGATTACTCTAATCCTTCAATATAACGTTAAGTAAACTTGATTGGAGTTTTAATAAACTGACGTTTGTCTACTTGGACATTTTTAACGAGAAACTAACACATTATAAGATAACCCAAATATTCAATTAGTGCATGACTAATGAATATTTTTGTTAATAATTATCTAAATTTATGATTGATCAATTTTTTTGAAACAAATATTCTTTTATCGTATTTCTCGGATACTGTTCTTGTATTTTTGTTATCACTTAACTTATAATAATTTATTATTTCTCTATTCATATGGAGAATCGAAACTAATTTTCAGAAGAAAAAAAACAGTTCTTACTTTTTGCCTTGCAAATTTTTAACTACATATGTGGAAAAGGTAAATGTCATAGTGGTCAAATTTTTGAAACAGTAATTAAGATAATTATAGTTTCTTCGCTTAGACAATATAAGATTATAGCTAACGAGTTATAAATAAATTAAAATCTATAATTGAACATTTGTGTCATGACCTTATCATCAAACCAAATATTACATATCTAAAAATTATTTGTATTATACTGTTATAAATAAGAATATTTGTTATTTTGGAATATCTCATTCCTAATAAATTCATTTAATTTATTACCATCGGTTTTTTCTCCGTTACATTAATTTTACAATCTAAAACTTTTTGTCAGTCATTAGTAACGAAGCGAGTGTTTTAAAAGTTTCTACATATGCATGAACATCCTTTTGTATGTTATCATTTTTCTTGTACACATTTTTTTGCATTCTGAAACACTTATGTAATTTTACAACACCAGAAAAATAATTGACTGTATATTAAAAATTTTTAGATTTTATATAAAATTTTGAATATTAGTACAGCTATTATTAACATGATTGCATAGAAAATAAGAGGCAATGAATTCCATAGATCTGATACGTAATATATCTAAATCAACTGCACTGTCAAAAATTTAAAAAATAAAAATTATAAAAGGACTTCAAAAACTAAATCTCATCAAAAGTACTTTCTTGGCTGCTCGAGCGTTATGCAACCCACTTAAAATCATTAAATATTGAAATATCATAATAAAAACTATATTTGTGCATAGTGAATACATTCTCCCATTAAATTTGGATCAGTTTAAACGTTCAAGACAAGGAGCAATATGAATCGTATATTTTCAAAACAGTGAGAGTTAATTTTTCCTAAAAAATGAGATCACGTAAATACTTAACAGTTTATACTTTAAAAAATGACAATGCTTCATTCAATTTAAAACTAGGCGCTAGAAAAAATTGCGTAGCTATTGACTATGAAAGTGGTGATACGGTCAACGTGGTTAACATTTGTTTGATCTCACATCACTAGATTATTAAAATGTTATAAAACAGTGTAAACGCAGTAATGCATTTATTTTACAAGAAATTAAACGAGAGACTTCTTTCTTTTCAACAAGAAATCTACGAAACTCAATTCAAAAACGACTGAGAAAAAATACTAGTGCAGAAAAAAGGTAAACTCGCCGAAGATATTTTGGTTGTCTTGATATATTGATTGAAATCATCGATGGAGGATAGAGAATTTATCAGACGATTGATTTGCTACCAACATTTTACAGAAAACCGACAAAAGGGTATAGCCGGAAAAGGTAGTCAAATATGCCCTTGAGTCAAATGAGAAACCCAATTCGTCAGTCGGTGGCATATCCAAAAGAAACATCTCACACCAAGTTTCAATCCCTTGTCTCATCCGTGGGGGTAGTAAAAGGGAAAAAACGAAATTCCGGTTTTAAGCCCGTTTTGCCTATTGAATTTCGTACAAAAATTCTGAGACATTGAGGTCCTCGTAGCGCATATTATAGAATTAGTTCAGATTTTTGATCGCAAATTGTAGTTGTAAAAAATCAAAAACAAAAAAAGAAGTCCGAATCTTATCCGGCTATACCCTTTGAAAGAATCGCGCTGGTGCCTCCGTGTAATGATGCCATACTTATTACATACCAAAAATAGGGTATGAAGCAGTTAATTTAGCTTATATACCTCCGACGCATCATGAATATTTCAGATACTACCTCATTAGGAGTGTCAATAAATAATAACAATGTCTTATGTTAAACTCAAAAATACATAAATATATTTAAACGTTTAAAATGTAATATACTGCTCCTATTTTATGTCTTGTTATTATTTATAAATAATAACTAGATTAATACGTACTATATTTTAAGCAATATTTAATTCTTCAGAATTGAAGTTCAATGATGTTTACAATTAACTAATTATTAAAATGGTGCAAAGTCCATTTATAGAATGCAAATATATATTATTTTGCTTAAATTCGCTTAGAAGAAATTTATATAATCAAACTGCACATTGATAAATTAGAAGAAACATTGTCATACTTGATGCAATTAATCTATATTTTTCAATTGATTAATATGCTAATCTTTAATTTACATATATGCTAACTTTTAATTAAAAAGCAAAAAATAATGTACTTACACCAGTTTTAAAATATTCGGTCCATATTATTCACGAAGATCCTACTGAACTGTTCATTACCGGAATTCGTTTGAACACTGGAACGTTTACCTTACATTCATTTTTCAATTTGTGCACAAAGTAACACAGTTTTCATCTTTTGTACAGCACCTGAGCTGTGTAGTTACAAGCAGTGCAAGCTAGTAAATCAACATGGTACACGGGTCGAAACCACAGCTAATGAATCATGTTGTTGATGCCGTGGTGCATCTGTGCGAAAGGAAAGGATCTACTGCTCGAGATGTCCTTGATTATCTTCGGCAAACTTCGAAGTTCAAACCACGAAATTTGACGATGCAGGTGAACAGGAAAATATACTCATATTAATTTGCTATTTAACTCATAATTTACGGACGAAAATTACTTGTACATTACGCACATGTGCATTGTAGAACACCGCGTCGAAATCGTACACACCTCAATTCTTTCAAATTGGGTATTTAAAGAAAGTTGGAACTCTGTATTTACACAAATAACGAGACCATGCAAATATATGTGATGTGCGGGAGAAACAAGTCGATTGAGACAGGTGCTAATATAAACAAATAAGATGACCACATACAAACAAGTGTGACTCTGGAATCTTAAAATTGATTATGTCCCCTATTTTTCTGTACAAAGCATCTGTCTTGCCTAATGTCACATCTTGTTGCACGCCTACTCTTTGTTTTCAATGTGTGCATCATTTTTCAACTAAATTTCTCGTATGATTCAACCGTCATTTTTGTATCATTCATTTTATTCGAGTGTATATCGGGAATTCAAGAATATTCAGAAAATATGACAAATTGACAACAAATTGTCAATTAGTTGTCAATTGATCAAAGATAAAAATATATTTTACAATAGCTAAATCCTTTATGAATAAGACAAATGAGAATTTAGCTAAATTACTTCAGCAGTTTCTGAGAACAAAAATTTCTAAGTGAACTCTATTTTCGCCAAAATGAGCAAAAATTGCAAACTTTGAAGACTTGTCATTCCTTAACAAATTCGAAACCGGCAAAATAAGGATATAAACTACCCTAATTTCACATGGACTATAACATATTTCGATTAGACCAAGATCAGAGATGGTGACTTCCAAAAGTGATCGATTTAGCGTTGGAATGACCCGTATGTATGTTTCCAAAATGTATTAAAGTGGACCTGTGTTACTAGAACAGAAATGAAATGATTTATTGGAATTATGGTTATAACAGGACCACGAACAGACAATAACATTTAAGACTGTTTAAAAGATTCATAAAAGATCCTTCACGAAAAAATTATATATTTCAAAAAATAACGACTCGTACAAGATTTCAAAAAATTTGATATTTCTGCACTTTAGAAGCAGCATTCAAATGAAATTTGATTCTGACAGTTTAACAAAAAATTCAACCTATTTTACATTACTAAGTTTCAAAACTAAAAATTTAACTTGCCAGAATAAGAGATTTCTTTGAGTGAAGGTATGATATTTGTTGGAGAGAAAGGCTATCATTTACGACATATAATCCTGCTAAGATTATGAAATATGGGCTGTTAGCATGGACTGTATGCGAAAGTAAGTCCGGATATGTAATATATCTAGAAATAGACTGTGTAAATGGTAAACGACTGTAAAGTATAACGATGTCTCTCTTGCGTTCAGTATTAAATAAATGGTATCACTGATACGAAAGCAATTATAATATCGTACGAAATACTGCATTCTTATAACAAAATAAAACTAGAATATACGATACTATGAAAGAAAATAATTCTAAAAACTGGCATAAAAAGAACAAGTGGCATTCTATGTTGCTGAAAAGACGACTGTTGACTTTTAGTATGCAAGCATAAAAAATAGATAAAAGCTATAAATGCAATTCATTTTATTGATATAGTGTTGACGTGACACCAAAATAAAAAAAACGAAAAAGAATAATATGAACTATGTATTATAAAAATATAATAAATTCATGAAAGGTGTTATTCATGTAGATCAATACGTTCCCATTATTCGATGCTTTTAAAAATAATTAAATAGGTTTAAAACGCAGTACTATACATAACGAGTATTGTACTATTCAATAGCTTCATAATATAAAAAGATAAATTCAGGTACTACGGGCGGCTATAGCTGCTATGCATAAAATGCCGCGTATTGTACATTGTATCATACATATGACAAACTATTAGTGTTACTTCAAATCGAGCACCGTGCACATTTTTGGCGCGGTGGCACGTTCAGTGGAAATACCACGACGGAGAAGTCGCCCGTAGCGAAATGGTTAATTATAAAAACTGTTGCAGTTATAATCTTGAAAAGCAGTATAGCGTGATCCAAAAAAAAATATGTAGTTCCATTTAAAAACGAAAGTTCACCATCATATCTTCTACATTTAATAACGTTTAACAATTTTTGTTTACGCCGAAAAAGTATTCAGTCCTCAGCGATCGTCAGCGCCAGTCGCGCGCCGTCCGCATGGACTGCATAGGCCACGAATATTCAGCACTCAAAGGGTTAAATACCCATACTGCCATTAAAATCAAAGTTTCCATTTTCGTCAATACGATCTTCGTATAATATTCACGTGTCTGATGTATTGCATGCACACTAACAGCGAGCTTTAAATATTCGAACTTTAAATGATTCATTAACGATTCAGATTAATAAATCAGCTATACACGTACATAAGATTTGCTGGATTTCAAACCTTCACTGATTTATGGACCGAAGTTCGGAAGAATTATTATGTAGATATGTGTGAATAATTACTCTGCAGATGGATCATAATCCGAGGATCAGGTGTAATAAATGGGCAAGTTCGATCGCTACCACCTGTTAGAGAGGAACGTTACTCACCGCAATTAAAAGTAAAACGCGTTTTGCGTAAGAAATCGAGTCTTGAGAAAGTTGCGTACTTCGAATGAAACTAAATAGATATCAATAATAAAGTTGTTCGTACGATAAAGTTAAATTCAGTTTGTATTTAAAAGGAAAATAAATATTTTTAAATGATAAAGTGATGAGCAATATTCTATTTCAGTTACCTCGTTTCATCTGAAAAACATCTTGATGATATCAATTCAGATGAATATAGATACATTCAATAGTATTTTGATAACTATAGTTATCATTGCTCAACTGGAACGTTATGTATCATCTGAAATGAACTCGTTTTGTATTTTTGTGACGCTTCACAAATTTATCATACAGTTCCTCTTAAATTATCAACGTTACACAAATTTGATATACTCAGTCTGTTTGAGGAACAAATAATTCATCCATTCTTCACTTACGAGGAATGAACTTCTTGGACTGAGAAGCTATGACGTTAAACCTCAATGTAAAAAATAGGATAAAAAGCTGAGAATATTAGAAGTATAAAATTATACAAATGCTATTATCCAAAATGATTCGCTTGTACACAGATTTAATTTCGAAATTACAAAGGAACAAAGAGTTTCAGTATTCTGAAATTGTATAAACTTATTATTTCAAGATTCGAATGAACTCGCTTGTGGGCAGAGTTCATTTCAAACGTACAAAGTCGACACCACTTTCAATATGTTGAAACTTCGAAGACTTCAAGGTTCAAATAAAATTCAAATTGATTTGCAACTTCTTTGGCATATTTAGAAATAATCGACGTGATACAAAGCACTTTGTAGTCCACCGTAATCCAACACTTTCTCGTTCACACAGACAGATTCAATCACGTCAAAGCTACGATCTTGAAGAGGTCATCAAAAATCGCTCAGGTGTAAAGCGACCTATACACATCGAAACTTGCCTTGAGACCAGGCCTCAAGTGCCTACACACGGTAAGACTTGCCTCACCGCATGCGGCGAATCCAGGCTGCTGCAGAGGCTTGCCAAATTATTATACTCGTACGAAAAATTTCATATTTTGCAGCTTTTATCTACGAAAAAGAATATATATCATGATTGTAATGTTACAATATATTATTTATACAATATGAATTGTATATTTTCTTGCGATGTATTATTTTTTAACAATAATACATGTAATTAAAAATAAAAAATAGAATACTTGCACGTAAACCGTACATTATATTATTATATTGTAAATATTATACAAGAAAATACAATTCTCCAATATTTCAACATTTCTGCATTTTTACTTGCACTCTGCAAAATTACATCTGCCGATTTAAAAGAAAGTTCTCGTTAAATCACTAACATTAATTTGAAACATAAAATATTTAATATATATACTTATATCCACGCGTATTTTTTATTCCAGATGATGGCTTACTTATATATTTAAGTATCAACAGTAATATGAAACTATTTAAATTTACATATTTTTTTGGATAAAATATGTTTAGCATACGAATTTCGATGTCTAGTGTAGATATAGTGAATGTGATCTGTACGTTATTCAAACAAATACGAATTTTATAATTCCATTCTCCTACTTGAGTTACACGTAAAAAAGTATATAATTTTGCAATTTACACTGTCCCTCTCTGTTGGGGGTCGGTCATCATCAAAATAGGAATTCAGGAAATACCGATCTCATTCTTCAAAAGTCGCAATGATATACGACACAAAATGAAATTTCCCTTCTCCTTTTCTTACGAAACAACTCTTTTTAGGTTCATCGAGCTCTGAAGCATGCAGTAAATGCCGGACTCCTGCGACATCGAAGTGGTCGTTACAAAGCAATATTTACAACAAATTCCGTCCAAAATAACGAACGCGAGAATGAAAATAGTGATAAAAAATCAGTCGAGGAAACAAGCAAACCCGATGCACAGCTATCGTTTGAAAGAGTCAATTCCAATAATAAACAGAACAGGTTTGCATTTGTGATTAAATTCAACGAAATTCCCTGGAAGTTGTTTAAGATTATAAATGTAACTTGACTATTATTGCCGTTTAGTATCGACAATAGCAGTCAAATTCATTTTTCATTAAATCGTATACTCTACTCAAAAGGTAAATACTGAACTCCCTACCCTGCCATTTTCATGATAGTTCAATAATAGTTTACTCGTTCAAAGTAACCTGCAATAACAGCTCGATTTCATGCTTCAGCTATGTTATATTTCAATTACTGCATTAGTGCCCATCGTTATATTTTTTTCACGTGTTTGTACTCGCGTTGCTTCTTTTTAACCAGTTAAGGGGGGATCCTGCTTTAGGAGCCCTAAAAAGAGCGTTTTTTAGGGAATTTTTTTAGGACAGAAAAAAAAGGTGACCCTAGTGAACTTTTTAGATTATTTTACTACTAGTTTGAACAAGAAAAAAACAATTTTTGTACAGAACAATATTCAAACGCAGCCCATTTTTATGCACATGTGTGCAACGCCTTTCAATTGCAGTCTCCAATCGGCGGGAAAGATGCAGTTCGTAATTTTCGTCTGAAATTAAAAAACCAAAGAGAACTCTAATTTTCATAGTCTTTCCTTCTATTTGAACTAAGAAAAATCACGAAAAATATTTTTAAACAACTTTTTTAGCAAGTTGAAACAATTTTTTTTTTTCCAAAAAAAGGAAAATTTTCTTCAAACCTGAGAAAATTTTACAATTTCACAATTTTTTTGTTTTTCTTAGTTCAAATAGAAGGAAAGACTATGAAAATTAGAGTTCTCTTTGGTTTTTTAATTTCAGACGAAAATTA